ATACAAGAGGCTGGGCCACATCGCTCACCTGAGCTCATTGGCTAGGAAGAAGCAGTAATCAGTTCAGTATTGAAGGGGGAGTGGGGCAAACTTTAATTTAAACTACCTCAGGATTCTTCCATATCAATATCACTAATCATGGCTTTGCTGTTCTTAAAAGAAGAATTTTAAAGATTTCCACCGTCATGGTAGCTCATTCTGTAGAGTGCTCGCTCCGTGATCGGAAGGTAAGGGGTTCGAGCCCCGGCCGCAACTGACCTAATTCGATGAAAAATAGGTAGCAACTGTTCCCCCGCAAAGCGCTCGGCACTTTGAAGTGAGAGTTGCGGGTCCTTCAGATGAGACCTTAATGACCGAGGCCCGTGTCACGGCAGGCGTAAGCACGATAAAGATCCCCCACTGCTCAATGGCCATGAGTGCCGAGTAAAGGTATAAATTTGAAGCCCTTCACAGGTATAAGGTGAAGTCTCTATATGAATGAAAAATTCTTGTTTGGAACATAAAACAACAATCAATCAATCCTATGTTTTCCTATGTAAAACTCTGATCTCTCATTGTGGCCCCACACCTACCCACCCTAAATTTGAACCAATTTGAATCTACACTACCAAAGGATGCTTCTATAATAATATGACTAATCATGCCTTTGCTGTTCTTGAGGAGATTTTTTTCAAGATGATTCCTATATTTTTTCTTATGCAAAACTTAATTGACCCTCTGTTGTGTCCCCATGATTTGAACATACTTGATTCTACAATACCTAAGGTTGCTTCTATATAAATATGACTAATAATGGCTTAGTGGTTCTTGAAAAGAAGATTTTAAAGATATTTCCTATGTGAAAGCATTTTATAGTAGAAAAGGATTTATCAAGAGAAAGTTTAAAAAATGTAATTAACTAAGCAGTAATTATTTAACAAAGATTGCATTGTTGTGTAAGGGGACAAGCGATTTTTCTTTTAAAAATAAATATTCAAATAAAAAGAATATTAATAAATACTGTGGTGGAAAGATGCATAAAACATTAAAAATAGAATGACAATTGAAAACGATTTTTGTTTACCAGGTAAGTTTTTTATAATTGAATTATTCAAATAAAAACAGATGGAGATAACCCTTACCAAAATTCAAGGTCATAAATTAGGACACATCCCACCCTTACATGCTAATAGTAATAAATGGGAATTATGTCTAACTATACTGAGTATTTAACATCTACATATCTGTCGTGTATTCAATTTTATTGAATCTGTTGATATTAGGAATGGTATACCTTAACTTCTCTATTGCTGATTCAGCATCCAACTTGTTCTGCTAGCTTCAGAATGCCTGACTTTCCCAAAGCTTTGGCTTATATACCCTTTGGTTTGGCTAGTCCCAGGGATAGACATTAACTTTCAGATTCACTTGCCCTTCGGGCAAGTGATTTCAAACTTTGACTTGTCCGAATGCAAAACTTGGTTGCCCCAAATTAGGATTATTTATAACTGCAAACGTTGTGAAAAGAAAAAATGTGATGAAATACACTACTGTCAATTTGGCAAGTTGAACTACCTGAAAAAATTTCGATGCTGCATTTGTACATAAATGTATACCACTGTACTTGTAAATTTAACCTGTAAACACACACTGCCATGCAGCAATAACCCTCCGTTTCCTTTTAATAAAATTCATATTTTTTAATATATTATTTGCGGTAGGATCATTTTGTGATTCGTGATTTTCAGCGATAACTGTGAAGCAACGCTTAAGGAGGATAGTTGCTACGAAACATACATCTTACCTTGATCAGGATACAACGTGCTACAGTGTACTTATATTCTGTACGTGCACGTGAATAAATAATCTAATTTCCTAATAAGAAGTTAACAAAATTTTGTTAGATGTAGAGCGTATTTCCTACAAAACAAAACAACGAACTCAATTTTTAAATGAACGGTATGATCCAGAAACGCTACCAAGGAATTTCGAATGCAAAAGCATTGTCAGTCAGGTGCGTGGCGGAAATCAAATGTTCAATTTATTGTTTTATTTATAAATCAATGTAAACTAAATAAATACGTATGTACACTTCTATGAGAAAAACTCACTTGCCCGATCGGACAAGAATGTTGACAATTTCACTTGCCCGAACTGAGAATTTACTTGTCCCGGGCAATCGGACAACCGTTAATGTCGATCCCTGAGTCCATTCTAAGGGTTGCTAGGTCATTCCATTATTTCAGGTCTTCAATGCATTTTACTCGAATGCCCCTTAACCATTTCACCTAAATATTCCTATGAAAAACTCTGACCCACTGTTGTGGCCCTGCCCTATCCGTGGGGGTCTTGATTTGAACAAACTTGAATCTACACTACTTGAGGATACTTCTACATTAATATGACTAATAATGGCTTAGCTGTTCTTGAGATGAAGATTTTTAAAGATATTTCCAATATATTCCTATGGTGAACTTTGACCCCCTGTTTTGGCCCTGCCCTACTCCCAGGGGTCATGATTAGAACAAACTTGAATCTACACTACCTGAGGATACTTCTATTATAATATGACTAATCATGGCATTGCTGTTCTACAGAAGAAGATTTTTAAATACATTTTCTATTTATTCCTATGTAAAACTTCGAGCCCCTCTTGCGGCCCCGCCCTACCCCCGGGGTTCATATCATGAAGTTTGTCATGAAGCTTTCAAATAAGTTTCATCTTTTCTTGCCCAGTTGTTCTTGAGAAGAAGATATTTAAAAGAAGCCACCAAATTTTTACGAATTCTTAATTGTCTCCCCTTTAAAGAGGGCATGGAACTTCCTGTGAACAAACTTAAATTCACCCAAGGATGCTTTGTGGCAAGTTTGGTTGAAATTGGCCCAGTGGTTCTTGAGAAGAAGTCGAAAATGTGAAAAGTTTATGGACTACAAATGGACTCCAGACACAGTCTTTGTTCAGAAAAGCTCACTTGAGCCTTCGGCTCAGGTGAGCTAAAAATTACAAAACAATAAGTTGTAATATTGTAATTTTATATTTACTTCCATCCAGTAAATTCAAAAATTACAAAATAACAGTAATATAATTCAATCACTGGTGAACTCTTGTTTGCAATATAATAAAAAGATAATGGCAAAATTGTCATTTATATTGAATAAAGGGGTGTAAAATATAGGCTAGAATCGAGAGTTAGTGTGCGTAGTTCTTTGCCATACTCTCCCCATGGCCTTCTTTTAAAACTTACTGATGAACTGTGATATTTTATGTTCGAGTACGTATCGGGTGTTGTGAATTCTAATAAACGAATTAGAGACAATGTTCAGCATTATCCCTCCTCCTCTCCCTTTGACCAACGTTTAATATACGTCAATTTTTGTAACGTTGATATTTGTAATTTTAATGTGTACCATGGCGTTTAATATAGTATACCCATGGTTTTTTTTTTTTTTTAGAAAGTTCCCTTCTTAAAATTGCTATTTTTGCAACCATGGCAACACTGTTCATTGGAATAAAAATACTAAAATACTGAATTTTGTATCTTAGTGTTCTTTACATGTGTACTAAATGTTATTGAAGTCAGGCAAAAACTGTAGGAGGGAAAGCGATTTGAAAATTGCTGAATATAGTATACCCGTGTTTTGTAAGGAAGTCTTGTTCTCAAAATTGCTATTTTGTAACCATGGCAACACTGTTCATTGAAATTAAAAAAAACTAAAATAAAGAATTGTTTATCTTAGTACACTCTAAAAGTGTACCAAATTTTATTGAAGTCAGGTAAAAACTGTAGGAGGGAAAACGATTTGTAAATTGCTTATAATTACGACAATCAGACAGCTGTAAAGCCAAAGTTTTAAGGATGACGGACATTGTGTAATTGTATAAACTCTTTCTATCAAATAAATTGACCAGTATAACTAAAAACTAATTGTTTGTATGCTTTGTTTTAATAGTATCACTAAATCCTCTGTTATGGAAATATTATTTGTAAATTTTTTTTAAAATTCTGTGATGTAAAAAGATGGAAAACACATATTTTGGCAATTACGGGTCTCATTCGTTGCCATGGCAACCAACGTCATTTTACTCTGCATAATTAAATATTTTAAGATTTTACCTTTCAGAAAATGTATAGGTTGCTCTATGTAAAAGTGACTAGAAAATGTTAAAATTTCAATTTGAAAATTTTAGGCAGTTTTACAGAAAAAAAATGCAAAATCTCTGGTAGTTAAAGGGTTAAATGACTGTTTGAATATTCAATTTTCATTCAATAGATACTTCATTTAGTCATGTTACTATGGTACATGTATACATGTACATGTAAATCTCTGCTGATATTACAAAAACGTGTTACAGTTACCGTACTGAGTACATACTAGGTTTTTCACTATGGAGGCTCATTAATTTGCAACTTTCCTTCAATTTTCCATTTACCTGTATCCAATTTCCCATTATATGTCAAGGCATTCTAGATTCCTTTGTTGAAAAGCAACCTGAATGTTTTATTCTGTTTCTGTACTCTTACCCAATCATTCTGAATAACTTTGTTACTTGTTTCCCTAATTCTGATTGGACGATGCCTAGCTAAATTACTCTAGATAATCTTTGTTTTGATTGGGCGTCCACTAGTTCTGTTATTCATTTATACTTTATTACTCACTTGTTTCCCCAGTTCTGATTGGACATCCTCCAACTCAGTTATTCTGGTCGTACTTTGCTGCAGCATTGTCTGATGTTCAAACACTGTTTTCTCCAGCTCAATGTTTTCTTGGTACTTGTCTTCTAAAGCTTTCTGAATTTGCTTTATATGTCTCTCCATTTTATTCACCTTGAATAAAATAATTAAACTCTTCATAATGTTTCTAAATTACATGTTACGGAAAATAGAAACTTATCTTAAAATGTGGGTTTTTTTTTAAATAATCTTGAATTTTTTTACTGGATTTTTACATTAAAAAAATCTCATTTCCCAGCAAAATAGTACAGGTATTACCTTAAAAAATTCACTCAATGACACACAGAAAATGTATATTTCCTTAAAACTTTAAATAGGTGAGTATAATGAGATGGGGGTGAACTTTTACATTATAAGATGGGTTTGTCTTTGATGTCATTTAAGATGATGTAATGGACATGAGGTTATACTGAATGATTACCACACCTGTTTTGGACAACAACAAAAAATCACACAGCAAAACTGACACATTGATTCTTTTGGTATTTTATGCATTCCTTTTCAATCAGGACTGTCTTTTTAAATTTTCCACTTGGAATCGTTGGTTTAAATTTTACATGCACTTAATTTTCTATAAAACCCCATTTTCTGACTGACAACCACACTAAAGCTTGTCTGACATGCTGATGTAGTTAGTACAGCGGACAGAGACCTACATGATATATACGCCAGGTAGAAGTTGTGTAAAGGTCAGGGTTTTCCTCAATAATTACCTACAAAACATCTTTTCTTTAACCTTTTTACACAAAATCAAGGTATCAGTTTCAGTTTTAGCATTTATGTAAAACTTTTCTTTTTCCCAATTTGAGAGCAAAAAACTTGGGAAATCCTTTCTTTTTTCATGAAAGCAATTTTTTTTTAATTAGAGCTAAGCAGTGATAACATTTATATTGTAGCCTGTGCTCAAATAAAGAGGATAAAAATTTGTTGTTCATTGATCATCACAAAAAACTGACCACCATGCAAAATAAACTCTTTTAAAAATTTTGAGACACATAGTGAGCCAGTGATAGCAAACTCAAAAATAACTTTCACATTAAAAGTATAAAACTTTTGTAATTTAATTTAGCCATGCTAGTGTGAGCAAATGTGCACCGTATGTATAAAAATATATACAGATTTATGCTTCGTAAAAATCATCAGCTGCTGAAAGAATATATCTTTACCATTTCTTCCTTGTGTCTGATGTCTCTGTCGTATTTGTCTCGAGATTCTTCCAGTGCCCCGAGATATGTCTTGACTTCTTCTTTACACTGAAGTAGAGCCATCTCGAGCTGTCTCATCTGTGAAGTCCCCTCACTAGCCTGAGCCTCCAACTGACGAAGGGAAAACTGACTCTGCTGGGTTTGCAGTTCCAGCTCCTAAATACATAAATACACACAGTTCATTAACTGCATGTAAAACTGACACTATGAGACAAATGAAAAAAAAAATTACTTCATCTCAAAACAAAAGTGGAATAAACTCTATGACGCATAATGTTAAATGCACATAAATATTGAAAGCTTTTGAATAATATATTATGTCTCTGTTAATGTCAAATCCTTTGCAACTTACATGTTAGTATACACTATTAATAAAGCATGTAAAAGTTCAAGAAAAAAAGAGCTGGAAATTTTTCTTCAAACTAGAGAGACATTTGTAATAGAATGTGAATGTTGAAATTACCTCCTTTGTTTTATTGAGTTCTTTCTGTAATTTCTTCACTTGTGAGTTCCTTTCTTCCAATTCCCTTTTATAATGTGACAGATGACTTGAGTTTTCTTCAAATACTGATGTTTTATTTTCAAGTTCCTTTTGGATCTGAAAAATTTGAGAATCACATGTAGCCTTACAATTGACAAAGAATAAGCATAAAATAGTATTGATTAAATGGCTAATCCAGGCATTTGACATTAAACACAAAACAATTTGAAAACTAAACAATTTGCTTATCTATTTATTCCATGACCACGGTCTAAACTAAAATTGCCATATATTGTGCAACAATTCTTTTGTGGCATTTATTCAAGTTCTAAATTCCCTTAACCCCAGTGAAGTAACAACACACATTAAATATGCCCTTACCATGTCGATCTGCTTCTCGTAATCCCTACACTGTTCCTGGTGAAGCTGTTGATTTTTCTCGGTGCTGCTGCGGAGCTGTTGAAGGGTTTGTTGTTTTTCCTTCAGTTCTACCTGAATCCTGGTGATTTCTTCATCTCTAAAGGTGACGTCATGCTCCAGCTGTTTGACTCGGGACACACAAGTAGAAAACTCGGCGGACTTTTCATCCAGTTGTTCTTCTAATTGGTTGATCTGGGATGACTTCTTTCTGACCTGTTAAAAAGCAAATATAAAGAATATTAGTGTGCATAAAATACATGTATTTTGCTTGAAATAATTATATTAAAGGAAAATTACAACTGCTTTTAAATGAGTGGAAATAATATTTCATATCATAATATTTCAACGCTGTGTATCATTACTTATGGAAGTATGAGGAAAATGTTCGTATGCAAAGCAATCAATTTTCATCAAAATCTGTAGATTATTGGTATACGTGAAATAACCACTCACAAATGCTGCAATTTCTATAAAATGGTTATAGCTGGTTAATATTCTTCTAAAACTAGTGACTCTAATCTTTTTTTTTACACGTATATGAATGCTTCTGATTGCAAGAAATTTCAAAATCAGGCCCATCAATGAACATGTTAAATGCAAAATGGACAAAAAGGGAATAACAAGCTCTTAATGAAAAAAACATACTTACCTCCCTTTCAAGATTGCTAATCTCAGTACACTTGTGGTTAATCTGTTCCTGAAGCTCAATCAGCTGTGAGTTCCTCTGAGTGATTCTGGTCTCAAATGATGTATTCTGAGATTCCCTCTCTCCTAGCTCTCTCTTTAACTCGGATATTTCACCAGCCATCCTGGATTTGTCTGCTTCGTACTGGGAAACAAGCATCTCCAGCTCTTGGACTTTATGAGCACCTACATGTATTTCAAATGAATGTACATGTAAAATTTATGTGCAGTGAATTTTTAATGTTCATTTAGATGATTTTCTTTAAATTAAATTTTCCTGACATTATCAAAAATTTGATATAAAATTTTATATTCATTTTCAAAAGGTGCACAGGGAAAATAAGAAAATAAGGAAATTACGTTGAGTCAATTATAATGCTAAAATATCAGTCCATGTATATTTATGGGGAATTCCAGAAAAGGAAAGTTTCTTGTAAAAAAAAATACCAGGGAACATGGATATGCTATAAAGAGAAAAGGAAAAAGAAGAACCACAAACAGAATCACAAATATATGAAAATAAACAAAGAAAAACCTTCAGATGTTTCTTTTTCTGTATAAAGAAAATCGTATCTCTTTAAATCCTGAGCTTTACAAATTGACATTTTCTACAAAATTGTGTTTCATAAAACCCCCAAGTAACAGATACTTTATTACTGATACACACTGAGTAAAACGGTACATGTATGATGTATAACACACCATGGATAGAAAACATCAGATTAATAAACTTCTGACATCAAAAAAAATTAAAAATCTATACGAGTGCAGTAAATAAGCAAAACTTTTATTTGTATCTATGTCCTAGGTTAAAAAGTGATTGATATGTGGAATTTAATACTTTTTTATACCACTCATCTTACATTTGACACACACAGACTCTGGTCAATGCTTACCTTGATGTTTGTTCTCCAGCATGCTGGTCAGTTCCATTCGTAGACTCTCTATAAGAACCGTCTGACTACTGGCTTCCTGGGATTGCAGACAGGACTGTAGACGTTGGATTTCTGCATCCTTCATTGCCAACTGCATCCTGTTCACATCAACAGTGTTATATGCATAATCTGAACATTATTCGTTTGTCATAAAGTACATCTGCTTCAATGTACCTCTTAAGAGCATTTGATGCTATGCGTTTGTTCGGACTGTAATACTGTAAACATTTTGCTTTGTTTGTCTATTTTGCCCCTTTGGGCAGCTTCCACTAAATCAAGTGCATCACTCTATGTCTTGCATATGAATATATATGATCAAAAATGCACTAAATCAAATCTTTGCCACCTATTGAAAATTCATTTCAAGGAATCCCAAAATATTTTACATGCTAACTATAATACAGTATTTCAATGAATGGTCAACTCCTTTTTTTCTTTTTTATTAAATACATGTACCTTAGGTCCTGCAAAATTGCTCTGGCTCCTCCTGAGGCTGCAGAGGCCTGTTCACTTGCTCCATACTCTGCCCCTCCCGACCTATAGAATGTGGATGACCCCATGTCATGTGATTGACCTTTAGAAGAGTCAGAGACAGCTCGGACACTCACACTGTACACACCGCTGTCATTAAAACTTGCTCCTCTCTGAAAATGTAAAACTAATTCATTGATGCCGCATGTTACCTAATATGCATTCAAATATAAGTAATGCATAGTTGCTCAATTATTTCTTAACTAACAACTTCAGACATGCTGTGACAGTACATAAGGGAATGAAATGTACATGTCCAGTGAAGCTTAATTAGGCTGTAGTTTTTTGTTTTTGGGTTTTTTTTGTTTTTTTTGTTTTTTTTTTTGGGGGGGGGGGGGGGGGGGTTGTATTTTGAGATATAATTTTAACATGCACTTACACAAAGACTTGTGCCATCTTTATTCAGACTGTCTCTAAGAATTCAATGACTGTGAGTGACTTTAAACTTACACCTACAGACTTGCTTTGGCTCTTGGACTAGCACCTACAAACTTGTTTTGGACTTGCATTGTGGGATCTGCTGGTTTTGGTAGTACACTTTACTCTGGTACTTACACTCTGAGACATGTTCTGGTTCTGTACTTACACTCTGAGACTTGTTCTGGTTCTGTACTTACACTTTGACACCTGTTCTGGTTCTATATTTACACTCTGAGACTTGTCCTGGTTCTGTACTTACACTCTGAGATTGTTCTGGTTCTGTACTTACACTTTGAGATTGTACTGATTCTGTACTTACACTCTGAGACTTGTTCTGTACTTACACTCTGAGACTTGTTCTGGTTCTGGACTTGCTGGGCGAGTTGTTCGAGTTGTGACAACATGGTCCTACTCTCCTCTATTTCCTGTTGACACACTGACAGTTGCTCCCTCTGGCGGTCCACTTGGCTCTGAAGTCGAGCATTCTCTCTCTCTAGACTTGTCATCTTCAAGGAGTCTGCCTCCAGTCTGCCTATATTAATAAATAATATTTGATTTGAATCCTATACAGAAAACATTCTGATTTTTTGGATATTTTTTCTCTTACAAAATTACAATTATTCATCTCACATGTACACGTTTCAAATTTGGAGCCATATAATTTACATTATGTGCAGTATTCACTTGTAACTCAGGGCTCTAAATAAACATTTTTCTTTTCTGGTTACTAAGAAATTTTTATTGTTCAATTGATAAGTTCAACTGTCCCATTTGGCTTGTACATACATGTATGAAAAAGACTGGCCCAAAATCAATGCTTAAAAGAGTCATTCTACAATGTAACAGTTTATTTTATAATTATTCCGATTTTAATAAGCAACTATTCATAACATCACATTTTTTCACTGTTGATTCTTAATCACCTCTAGTAGTGCCACTTTCAGTTCTGCATAGCTCTTATGTGATCCTTGAAGTTTATTGGGGTTTTTTTTATGATCATTTTGTTAACATAATTTTGTATCTCTACTTTTCATGCTTGATACTTGATGCACCTGGGTGACACAGTATTATGAAAACATTACAATGATTAAGAATATTCTGATCAAGGAACATTTTCTTAGAAATATTTATATACATTGTACATGTATTATTTCTTAGTACAATCTAACAAAATAGGGAAATATTTGTATCCAAATAGAACTTGGATGCACAAATCTATTTAACTAATCTGAATGTGAATGAATTTTGATATGCATAAAATAATCACTAGTCTCAAGGGCACATGCTCTCTACAAAACACTAGCCCATATTCAAAATTCAGTAGCCCTAGATCAGTGGGTTATCAATTATTTTGAGCCCTGCTAACAAATTTATGTGACATACTAAGTTTGGTGGAGTTTTTGGTTAGTGAAGATTTTAGTTCGGTATTCTGCTTCTCTAATTCCCTCCGGCTATCTAGTTCCATGTCCTCCAAAAGCTGTAATCTCCTATAAAATAAAACAACACTATAAATATATAAGTCAGTATGATTAATTCTGCCTATAAAGATTGTGGAATGCATAATTTAACTAACATTCATAAAGATACAACTTCTCACTTAAGACTAGATTTTCAGAGAAATCTAAAGCACAAAAGTATTTTGCAATTTACATGCATTTGGGACATTTTGAATTAAAACAAAAAAACCTGATACTCTGACCTAATTTCCTCATTCTGACTTTTAATTTTGGACTGAAGGAGTGAGATCCGCTCCAATAGATCCTCCCTCTCCTGGTTAGCCTCACCAAGACTGTCTCTCAGGTAGTCCTCATTGTTCTCCAACTACAAACATCATTGACACACAATGAATTTCATATATCATTGACTAGTCAGTTGGTATTCAAATGGAGTTAGATAAAAAAATATACACAAGAATATGGATGAAAATCTATAATGTGAATCAGTAAATTTTAGACTTTTACGTGTACTTATTATCCTAAAAAAATACACTTAACAATGAGGTAAAAACTGTACCATGCATAAAAGTTTTTAAGAGATTGATGCTGAACATATTGCAGTTGAAAACTAATCTTTGCCTATACATTCATATTTTTGAAGAGTTTTCAGTGATTGTGCATTTGTTTTCCTTCCTTAATTTTTGTCAAAGAATGTACCTTTTTGGTTTTATCTTTAGCCTTTCTTTGGTAATCTTCCAGAGTCTCCTGAGCTTCTATGAAATTTTGCAGAGCCTCATCCCTCTGAACTTCTGCCCTGTTTGTACATGTACATAAGACATGTCAAGTCAATTTTCAATTTCAATTTTTGCGCGCACACTGGTATATTGTGTATTTACACTTAATTTAAAAGTACAGTCAAACCTCATTTTCTTGAACTTGATGGGGCCAAGAAAAGACTTTGAGATATCCAAGGATTCGAGGGTAAAATACTTAAAAAATAATTGATTGGGACTTCCAAATCACTTTGACATATCCATGGTATTCGTGATATCAGTGTTTGAGACTTAAGTCCAACTGTATATATTTTCATAGATTTCACCTCAATAGAAAGTAAGTTTTCTGTTCTTTAAAAGAGGATTCAAAAGATTTTGTTTTTAGCTACAAATGATTCAATCTGTCAGAATTAAATAATAATCAAGAAGTCAATGTTTTTCAATAAATATTAAAGCACCCATACCCCTTTCTCTTTTTCTTTTCATCTTTTAAGTCTGTTTGGAGCTCCTCTATCTCTTGTTCATTCTGTTTAATCTGTAGTTGATAGTCTGCATTTTGTCGCTGTATTTTCTCATAACGTTCTTCAGCTTCTCTCAGGGCTTTGTCTTGTGACTCCGTTTCTGCTTGCAGTCCCACAATTTTATCCTCCAAGTCTGGCACGCTCTGGCGGTAGTCATCTAACTCTGTACTTAATTCCAGGACCTATTCACAAGAAAAAAATCAAGCTACCTTAAAGATCACAAACTTCATCTCAGTCTGAAAACTTCAACCCATACGTATGGTAAAACAAACTTGTAGAAAAGTGCCAAGGACAAACAATTTTGATTTGTTATAATTATCATTCCTTATCTGTGATAAGTTCGTTGTACAATTTAAAACTTAAGGGAATGAAGATCACTTTGTCTTTGTAGTAAGGATGATTACAGTACATTATAAGCATAACCATATTTTACTATACTTGTTATATATGCATTATGTTTAAAAGGGACCCCATTCTTACCTTTGATCTGGCAGCATTCAGCTCTTGGCTACATTTCTCCATCTCTCCCAGCAGTTTATGGTTTTGCTGGAGCAGTTTTTTGTTGGCCTCTTTTAAGTAGCGGATTTCTCCAGACTCCTGTTGTGAACCCCTCTCCATCAACTGCACCCTGTCATGGCGGTCTAGTCGACTGAACGTCTATTACATAATTAAAGTCAAAATATACAAATTGCTAATCATTCTACTATCAAATAGTATTTCTATTTAATATTTAAGGATGTGAGTACTTCTGCACTTCTCGATTTATTTCTCCATATATGTCAGAAAACTACTAACCATGTGTTCCTAATATATTTTCTTACTACTTCCACAACTATCCTAAACTGTATGTACAAGTCATATACGAAGCACATTGGACAGAATTGTCTTGCCACTTTAAATGACAGTATAGATAGGCAAAATTTTCAATGGTCCCAATTTCAGGCCCAAGAGGGCTATCAACAACGGTTTTGGGGAATGTACTATTGTGGAAGTAGTAAAAGAATATGTTAGGAACAGATGGTCTGTAATATTCTGAGATGGCAGCTTAAATATATGGAGAAAAAAATCAAGAAACTGCGAATTTTTTTGTGTGCAATAAATAGTTATACACTTTTTTCAATGGGTGGCACTGTAGCTCTCTGGTTGTCCATCCCAATATTTAACAGACCAGAGAGCTACAGATCTGCAGCTAGCCCAAATTGTGTTTGATTGTACTTGAACATGTTGCAGGGACTCAGAACCTGGTTATTGAAAAGCAACTAAGGCGTAATAAAAAAATATGTTTGTTTACGGTTACCCGACCGACCCTATATTAAATCGCCGACCCAAATTTTTTTTCGTCGTAAAAATCTGGAAGTCACTTGCCGGTCAGTTTGACTTTTACATGCATCAAGTGTTTGAAATCGAAATTGAAAGTACTAGAAACAAAAAGCACCACACAATGGTGAAACTGTTTTTCATTTCAACCAATTCATGTGAATTTGTGTATTAAAAAAATCAATAAAATAAATAAAAAAATCCTACCTACCGACCCTATTTTATTTCAGCATGTAACAGTAAACAAACATATTTTTTTATTTGGCCTAATCTTATGAATATTCAAATGCACTTACCTGTGGTTTATTTGGTGTGCTAGAAGCATGCTTAATTCTCTCAAACCCAGCATAAGACGATTCTGGTAGCGTGGCCAAACCAGACTTTATGCTGTCTTTGTCACAAGAAATATCATGCTGAAGGGGATTCCTCATTAAATCATCCATTGTAACTACAAATCGCTCTGTGACGGCCACACTATTCAATGTTGATATTGATTCTAGGTCAGAGCTGAAATGTACGGATGTACATTGTAAGTGCATTTGTCAAAGATACTGCATTCTAAATTAATAAAACAAAAGTGTTGCAAGTAATACAGGTCAAATTTTGCATTTATTCGATGTTCACAAGTATCATCAACCCCCAGCATCAAATATTAGTGAGCCCTTTTGTGCATGTGTAGGATTCCTTCTATGATTAACCATCTTAATGGACGTTTCACAATCTGTCTTGTAAATATGAAAAATTTCCTATAAAATTTCATGCCTAGTTGTATGTGTGACTTCTTTACCCCATGATCCAGAATTAGATAATGAAGTCTCCAGTAAAAAGAAATCCAACTCACTGTTATGAAAGTATATAACTGCTGTTATGGTTATGGGATAAATCAAAACAGCCCATTGATAAGAAATCAGTAATTTTTTAACCATGATTAAGGAATCAAAATCTTTGTGGTATGTGTGAAAAATCACATGTTACCATATTTTATATCAAATTCAGATTACAAGCATATTATAGGTCTACAAAACGCACGCATGCCAAGTTAGCACAATTTTATCATTATCAGCACATTCCACACATTCATTCCACTATACAAGAACTTAATGACTTTTTTTAATATTGCCCAAGACCAAAATGGACTTACTCGTCATAATTTCCCCGCTGGTCAATTTTTGACAGTTTCTTCAAATTTCTCTCGGTGTCCAGCAACCGTTTCCTAAGGTCCTGAACATTGTGCATTAACAATTCCTGTGGTTCACAGTCCTCCATGGTCACCAAATGAAATAATATTGTCTAATTGGACATCTTTCAAATCATGAAATATCATTTTGGCAGGAAGCAAGGGCTATTGTTTATATTTAAATTACCCGTACTGGATAACCCAGGCCTTCCAAGACATGACTGGGCTCGCAAATATTGCTTTCAAAGGAACATCGGAAAAAATCATCGGCAGCTTCTTTTAACTTTTCAGAAGTGATAATTTAACAAATACAATCACAAGCAAAACTATATCGTCATTGTAAGTCATCTCACTATATATATTCTAAAGTTCACTTGTAAACAAAAATATATTCTGCTAGCCGCCGCTTGTTTTCATTGGATAAATTTTCGAAAGTCGGTGCGAGACAATTGTTACGTCAAAATTTCGACAATTTTAATCGATTTCAGTTTCATCTACTATTTCCATTCATTGGTTTAAGGTCAAGATCTAGTAAATGAGTATAGACTTTCTTCTTGGTGCTATATTCATTATGACATCATAATTGATTTAAACTTAATTTTTCCCGTACTTTACGGTTTCAATAGAATTATGTAGAAAATAAAGCACTTTCATGGAATTCAATTTGAAATCATGTCAAATGTAACTCCGAAACCTTTATTCCGTTTAATATCATTTTAAAGTAGAGATCAAGAAGATATGAAAAATCGTTTTCTGAGAGACTGTAGGCAATATTGATACATTTCCTTTGTCTGAGATGGAAAAAACTCCCATACTTATACCAGACTTTCTTCATTTTTCATTGAAAATGAGCAGTTTATAATATATTTTTCCGATGAGTTTACCCCAAAATAATGTCAGGATACACCTTATTTTACCAAGCTATATTCGTAAAGGATCATTAAAGGAATGTGTATCTCAAATTTGAGAAATCTGTGGGCACCTTTCATTTACTAGATCTCGACCTTAAAGAAAGGACGCACTGACAAATCATTGAGGTCACACAACTGTTTGTTTGGCTTTGTTTTTTAAAGCTATATCATACGGATATAATATATTACAGATATCTCCTTTTTTTAAAATACTAGTCCATTTATTTGCACTTGACCAACACATTCATGGAATTTAGCATGTTTAGAAAAGGTCTATTTGCACTGGATAATTTTAAATAGGCAGGGAAACTGTGGCCTTATATAGGAAATTTAATTGCTTGTATTAATATACATGTACGCGCACTGACATAGATAAAAAGTTGTCCAGCAGAATAGACTTCTGCTAAATTTTATTCTCCTTGTACTTACATGTTACATGTGTAACATACACCATGTACACGTGTAACGGTGGAGGGACCGAGTACTGTTACACAGGCACTTGTTTCGGTAATAAATTTTTAACCCATAGTATAATAATATCACCAATCACAAGGTATCTAACTCCGAATTACACGGAGTACCCCCGCTAATCCCGCACAGAGATTTTGATTGGCTAAAAATCTGTTTCTAAAATTACATCGGATAAACATCGTAATGTTTTCAGGGAAAATCAGACGTAAACAAGTTCTATTTAATCATGCAATATTTAAACACTGGAATTGAATTTTTAAACCCACAATTTTTTTTAATTTTGTTCTCTGTGCGGGATTAGCACATACCATTTCATGGTTGAATTCGACTTTTTCACACGGCGAGCAGAGTTTTGACGCTGTGTACGGAGACTAAAGAAAATAAAGACAAGCATGCCATATATGGTTGTGTAGATAAATTATCGTAGAAAACATAGGTATTAACAGTTTGTCAGTGTATTTCCTCTGAAAGTGTAAATGAGTGCGATTCTGGGGGAGGGGGGTACTCCGTGTAATTCGGAGTTAGATATACCTTGTGTTATTATTATACTATGGGTTAAAAATTTATTACCGAAACAAGTGCCTGTGTACTGTTAGCTGAAGGTCCCATTTTCGACACTAATTTCGCCCGCCTGTTACGTGTACAGTAATTAGCAGTGGGCATCGGTTATGAATTTCAGTTTTGCCAACATTTTTTCCTGTCTATAACACAATCTACAAGCATTTTTCTAAAATATATATTTCTTTCTCTTCATTAATCATACAAAAAGAAAAACAATTCATTTCTTTTGAAAATTCCAATTTTTTTTCGGGGGGGGGGGGGATTCCATCCCGGTGAAAAAAAAAATCCTACCCAGAAATTTCTTGATGAGCGAAAAAACAATACAAAAAAAAAATACAAAACAAAACAAAAACAAAAAAGAAAACTTATTTCCCTTGCCAAACGTAGGGTATTAACCCTAGAAAAATTCTTGGCAAGCACAAAAAAAAAAACCCACAAACACACAAAACCAAAAAACAAAAAAAACAAAACAAAACAAAAACAAAACAAAAAAAACCACATACACACACACAAAAAAAAAACAACAACAACAACAACAAAAAAAAAAAAGCAAAAAAAAAACATATACATCCATTTCCCAAACGTGAAAAAACCTATTTCGTGGTGGTGATGTGGGGTCCACGTTTTCTGGGAGGGGGTGGAGTCCAAAGTCAATTTTTATTTGCTTCATAATATAGGCCTACTTTTAATAACTCTGCAAATTCCAGGGGGTCCGAGCCCCCCCCCCCCCCGACTCCCCTGGATCCCCGCATCCCCCCCCCCCTCCACCACACCAACCCTGGCTTCCACTCTGCCAAATGATTTGTAAACAGATATCCGAACCAAATAATACGAAATATAAAAAGATCGATGTGTATGTACTTTTAAATTTGAAATAAAGTAAAGCAGGGAGCCAGGGACGTACCTACATTCATAGTTTTGTAGTTCGACCTACCTAATGCCTTTCACTTCCTTTTCCGGCTACAAGTGAGCCCCAAAGCCGAAGCTATCTTTGGTAGTGAAGTTTCGGACTTCAAAACTACCTAAAAATGGTCAGTTCTTACCAGTAAAGAATTGTAATTAAATCAGTATATATCTGTGCACCTTTTGATTTGCAAAAGCGATATATTATTTGACAAAGAACCCTACTGATGGCCAAGATTAATGCAGATAGAATATGACAGCACGTGAAAAAACACCTTTTATATGCCCTTAAGATCACAAAATATTGTAACTTTACTTTGAAAATGGTCATAATAGTAATAAAAATCAAAAAATAATATTGCATAGAGTATGCGTGGATAACTGTCATGAATTAACTTCGTTGATGTGAGATTATAATGGGAAAGGGGGGATGTGCAATTTGTCATAATTGTGTATGGTCATTGAATGAAAATTTAACTGTTGTTTTTATGGTTAAAAATTTGGAAGTATGTTAGAAAGGGTGTGTATCATTTGTTAATAATGCACGGGTAAGGAGGGGGAGGGAGGGATTTCGGCGACTTGCTCAGACTGAACCAATAAAAATGGTGTATTGACTATACTCTAAGGCAGATTTCTTTGACATAAGCACTGATAATTATAGAAACTTAAAATAGTCTGCTTTTTCTTATTAAGCAGAAGAAATAAAAAGACCAAGTTATAAACATGCATAAAATTTGAATATATAGAGATTAGAAGACCGAAAAACTTGGTACAAAGTGAATGTTTACTGTTGGTCTGTATCCCATGGAAAATGTGCTCAAAAGATGATGTTTATATACATGTTAGACTACTGATACAAGTGATGTCTATTATCTGCTGATATTTTTGAGCACAGACTTGGTACATTTGTAAAAGCTATTTGCTTATTACTTGATGTGTATGAAGTATTTAAGATACTACTCTTGCTTATTTCAGGGTTTTGTGAAAGTTGTGAAGAACAAAGCTTATTTCAAGCGTTTTCAAGTCAAGTTCAGAAGGAGGAGAGGTATTCCTTTTTATCGGAGATTGTTATAAGAAACAAGATTTATATAAAAAAGCTTTTGTGTATAGAAGTTGGACAAGTAATGAAAATGTCAAACATTTTTATGCATTGCCTGAAAACAATATAAATGTATTACATTTGTTCAACAGAGGGCAGGACAGATTTTTATGCAAGAAAACGTCTTGTTATCCAAGAGAAGAATAAATATAACACTCCAAAGTATAGAATGATTGTCAGGTTTACCAACAAAGACATCATTTGTCAGGTATGTATTATTTAAAAACACGTAGTTTTAAAAGATCCTTCATTTGGAATACTTGGAAGCTATACATTTTAATCCTCTGTTGCTTCTTAAAGCCTTGACATGTCACAGGGGTAGAAACTCCCTAAAATTACAACTCGCAAATTGCAAGTACCAAAAAAATGAACTTGCAATTTCAAAAGACAACTCTCAATTTTAAAATGAAAGCTTTTTTTAAAAAATGCCAATGCGGCCATCTATCCATCTTCTTAAAAACTTCGTAATTTTTGACGTGATCATCGGACATGGCACATGGTCGTTCATTTAAAAATGATGGATATAAACAGTAACTAAAGAAAGAAAAATTAAAACTGGATACAAACGGATATTTTTTTCACGGGTGAAATTTAAATTGAAAAAAAATCAACTCGCATTTTTTTGCGAGTAACAAAATTTTTAACTCGCAATTTGGATATTCTAACTTGCATTTTGCGAGTTGTATGTAGTGAATTTCGAACCCTGCATCATGATCAGAATCAGTTTGATCTTTGTCAGAAATATTTATTGAGAACATTTGATTTGACCAGTCCAAAAAAATACAGACCAGTTTTATCTGGAGCTTAATTCTATAATATGGTGGTGTATGAAACTTGTTCAGTACATGTTATTTCAATATGCAATTTTTTACCTTTGAAAGTGCTGAAAAATTATAACAGATTTGTCATTGCTCCAAAATAAGTATATCACCCTCTGCTCTCATTTCTTTGTCAGATTTAAATGTGTTCAACTTTTGTATAGCCAAAGCTTGTTACTATGTAATGTGGAAATGTCTTAAATAATATGTACTGCATTTCATCGTTTGTTCATTGTTATTTCTCTTAAATCATGAGCACAGAAAAAGAATGAAATGGATAGCTCATGATTTTGTAAATTTTATTTTACTGCAGTCTTTCAATTTGGCAGGTTTTAATTTAAGATTTGGTAGGGCATTACATTTAGGTTAACTATGTACAGTAAACTCAGAAAGGTATGATTTCTACAGTAAAATTTCCCATTTTCAGATAGCGTACGCTCGTATTGAAGGGGATATCATCATCTGTGCTGCCTATGCACATGAGCTT